ATCTTTCAGGGCTTACTGCTTTCGTCCACTTCTTCCTTAGACCTGGTGGCCTATGCTGATTCTGATTAGGCTGGTGATATCAGTGATCGCAAGTCCACTTTTGGTTTCTGTATGTTTCTTGGTGATTCCTTGATTTCTTGGAAGAGCAAGAAACAGACTGTTATTGTTCGTTCTACTACTGAAGCTGAGTATCGTGCTATGACCCATGCCACTGCTGGGATTATCTGGCTTCGTTTTCTCTTGTGTGATTTGGGTGTCCCTCTGTTCTTTCCCATTTCTCTCTACTGTGACAACTGCAGCGCTATTCAGATTGTCCATAACACTGTCTTCCATGAGCGGACGAAGCATATTGAGATTGATTGTCACTTTGTCCGTCATCATCTACAATCTAGTTCTATCTCGCTTCTGTTTGTTCCTTCTGCCCTACAACTTGCTAATTTCTTTACCAAGACTCACACTTCTACTCGCTTTCAGTTTCTACTTGACAAACTCTTTGTGTTTTCTGCTAAAACACTTTGAGTTTGAGTGGGGGTGTGAATATTGTGCATATATGGTTGTATATATTTTAGGCTGATTAGTTGTATTTCCATAGTTAGCTAATGAGTTGTATTTCCATAGTTAGATTTTAGGGTTTAGTCTCTTCTTATTTAAATTGATGTAACTCTTGAATTCGAATACAATTGAATATACAAACTTTATTCAGAAATCTTACAGTGAGCTTCATAATATGGCAATATCACTGTCAAAAAATAATAATTGAACACTTTAATGGTTTAAACCATGAGTCTGCATCTACTCGAAAAAAACCCTCATTAAACAGTATAACATGACCCTTTTTCAAGAAGAGCTTATCTGGTTTCAAAAATCCAAAGTCAAATAGTTTACCATGGGAGATTGTAACACAAAACTCTTTCATATATCTACCCTTTAATAAATGCAAAAAACCGAAAATCAACATGCTCAAGGATGACACTGGTAATTGGCCTTCTAAATCTGAAGATATCAAAACTCATATTAACCAATATTGCAATGATATGTTTCACCATGAGGCTACTCCTATGCTAGATAACTGGAGGAGTATCACCTATATTAGCTTTACCAAAGATGATAATGATACTATCCAAGCTCCTATCACTAATCATGAAATTTGGAATGCCATTAAAAATATCAAAGCTTTTAAAGCTCCTGGCAAAGATGGGTTGCAAGCTGTTTTCTATCATCAAAACTGGAATATTGTGGGAACATCCATGTGCCATTTTGTCAAACATTGTTTCTCTACCCAGACCATCCTTGTGGAGGTTAATACAACCCTGATTGTGTTAGTCCCCAAACTGGAGAACCCTTAGACTATAAAATTGTTTAGACCCACAAATCTTTGCAATGTCACTTATAAGACCATCACCAAAATCATTGTCAATCGAATCCATTCCTTGCTTTCTAATTTAATTAGCCCCAATCAGAGTAATTTCATCCCCGATAGAACTACAACTGATAATATCATCATAACTCAGGAAATCATTCACACCCTCAAAACCAAGAAAGGAAAAACTAGTGGTATAGTGCTTAAGATTGACCTTGAGAAAGCCTATGATCGTATTTCTTGGGAGTTTATCCATCATACCCTCAAAGAATTTAACCTCAATTCCACTTAGATTACTCTCATTATGAATTGTGTCTCTAATGTTAACCCTACTAGTATTTGAAATAGAGAGGCCCTCCCTAACATTAATGTTGGGAGAGGCCTTAGACAATGTGACCCTCTCTTTTTTTTATCTGTTTGTGCTTTGCATGGAAAATCTATCTAACATAATAAGAATTAAAACTTAGAATGGTGATTGGCATGGTCTTAAAGCCTCTAAACATAGCCCCCTATCTCCCACATATTCTTTGTTGACGACCTCATTCTCTTTGCCAAGGCTAATACTAGAAACTGCAATGCCATCATGGAAGCTTGAATGATTTGTGTGAAATTTCTGGGCAGAAAATAAACTTCCAAAAATCCAAGATCTTTATTTCTCCCAATATCCGTAGAAGGGAAGCCCTCCCCCTTAGCTATCATTGTGGTATATCCCTTACCAATGACCTGGGCAAGTATCTTGGCACCCTTTTGCTCCATGGCAGAATCAACAAAAATCATATAAAAAACATCTTTGAAAAAATAACTAATAGGTTATCTGGGTGGAAGGCCAAAAATCTGTCCCTTATAGGTAGACTCACCCTTGTGAATTATGTTACTTCTACTATACCTAATCATCTCATGCAAACTATGGAATTACCTAGACATATCTGTGATAAAATTGACAGCTTAAATAGGAATTTCCTTTGGAGTAGCACTCATTCTGTTAAAAAAGTTCACTTGATTAATTGGAACTAAGTTTGCAAAAGTAAAAGAAATAATGGGCTGGGCATTAGGAAAATCAGGGACCAAAATTATGATCTTATCTCCAAACTTGCCTGGAAAATTACCAGTAAGGCTGATAATCTTTGGTGTAAAATTCTTCAATCTAAATACCTTAAGCACCATTCCATCGTCAATTGGCCTATCAAGAGAAAAGCTTCACACACCTGGAAAAGGATAATTAAAAACAGAGAGGTTTTGAAAGATAACATCAAATGGAATGTGGGGAATGGTGAGAATATCTCACTCTGGACTAATTGGTGGTGTGGCATAGCACCACTGTGCAGTAATAACCAGGGCCTTCACATTTATTGCACAGCTACTGTTAGCTCTATTTTAGATGATGAAGGCCAATGGAACTTGACCTTAATTCAAAACCTGATTTCCCAAGAAGAAAAAGATAACATTTTACAAATTTACAAGCTTAGGTTTGTGACTTTCATGGATACTCCTACTTGGCAAGGCACCACTAATGGCAATTTTACTATTTCAGCTGCCTACAATTCCATTTCCTAAAAGGATGAGAATGGCTTGGATTGGCAATGGGTCTAGAAAATTAAGGCCCCTCAGAGACTAAAAGCCTCCTCTAGTTAACCATGCATGGAAGATTGCTTACCAACCAGATAAGATTCAAAAGGAATCTTATAGATTCAGACACCTGTTCCAGATGTTAAACTGCTAGAAAGGACATAAGTCATTTATTAAGAGGCTGTCCCAAATCTAAAATAATCTGGGTCAATTTGAAAAACCTCCCCTGGTACCTAAGATGGATGACATTCAATGGGCAACTATTTCCCTATATGCTATTTGAAATATTTGGAAAGATATGAGCAAAGAAGTGTTTGACAATCACACTCAACTTGCAACCATTAGCACAACCAAAATTCTTCGCCAAGCTCAAGAAATTCAGGAAACTTTTTTAAACTCACTTCACCCAAATTATTCAGCACCACGTCCCACTGTCTGGTTTGCTCCTCTTGTAGGGTCATTGAAATTGAATACTGATAGAAGCTCTAAAAGAGATCCAAGTCAATCTGGATATGATGGTCTATTGAGAGATGAAGTAGACACTTGGCTGTGGAGCTATCATGGCTACTTAGGGAATTGCACGAGCTTAGAAGCTGAACTTTGGGGACTCTACCGAGGACTCACCATCATCATGCAGAAAAGAATGGCAAACATAGAGCTTGAGACAGATTTCTAGCTAGCAATGCAACTTATCAAAGATGGAGCTGACAGCTCTTGCCCATATAAAGCATTGATTGAGGATGCCAACTTCCTCCTGAGAAGATGCAATTGCAATATTTCCTATATTCCAAGAGAAGCCAACTAATGTGCTGATGCTCTTGCCAACATTGGAGTCAGCCAATATGAGCATTTTGTCTTCTTAGATGAACCACCCAGTGCTCTCCTATCTGTCCTAGTTGCAGACATAGTGGCTTCTAGCTCTAGAAGGGTCTAAGTACCGTTTTACTAATTTACTTATATTAAACTCTCAACTTTATTATCCTTTTATTTGAATCAAAAGAAAAAAGAAAAGAAGAAGACTTTAATGGTTTGTTACTACATGACAGTATTTTTGTTTGGCAATTCAATATTTTAGTCTAAAAGTTAAAAGTCATTAAAAAAAATTAAAAATCAATAATTTATACCAAAAAATTAAAAATTCTCTTTTCTCTCTACTTTTTGTATATCTTTTCGGGAAAAAAAAAAAACTAAAAAGTCATTCCAAATATATTATTTTTTTTGGTCTCATATTTTAGCTAAAAAATTAAAAAAATTACCAAAGTATCCTATTTCCAAACATTATTTCCAAACGTAGTAGTTTAATAAATCATCATTAGCCTTAGGAAATCAAAATTTTACTACCTAAGCTTGATATGTGTACATGTATATATATATATATTTAAGGAAGGGCCTGACTTCCCTTCAGTTCCAGATCAAATTAGAGGATTTTGTTGGGCTCATGGGAGCTTATCACGAGTCCCGTTTCGATAATTTGAACCGTTCAATGTATAGATCTCGTTGAGTACTATATGTCTATAAAATATCACCTTGATCGGATATCGATAACTATATCATCGGAATAATTTTCTGTCAACTATTTATTTTTTCACCGTTTATTTTTTATACAAAACTGATTTGATCATGTACCTATCAATATCCGATCAATGTGATTTTTTACAAGTATATAGTACTTGTCAAGTTCTACACATTGCGTGGTTTGAATTAATGAAACGAGATCCGTAATGTGCTACACGGGCCTAACAGCACCCTTCGAAGGACTGGAGGAATGGCTTGCCTTTCATTAGATGCGATCGTGTTATTTGGATTTATGAAACCTATTAGGGGTTTTATTTCGATCATTCGATTTGTTTATTGTGTAGATCATTCAAAAATAAAATAAAATCAAATTGATCTAATAAAATAATTTTAATGTAAAAATTTTACTCATGGCTAACAACCGAACTTATAATAAGATTTGATGAAAATATTAAATTTATCATTAGAGTACATTATATCAGATCAAATTTTTCATTAAATTTTTACTCGAATTTAATAAAATTTTTAATAAAAGATTAAAAATACATTAATATAAACATTTGAGACATTCGAAATTGATTTATGTTCATGAGAACCAAATGTTTTACAGATCCCATTGAAGAAAATAAAATAAAAATCAAACATTAATAAATCTTATATATTCACACAACAAACAGTTCCCTAATCTCATATTTTTTTTTTTCTTTTTCTTTTTTTTTAAACCCAAAAACATGTACAAATTTGTGGGAAAGTTTCATGATCACCATTGTCCATCCATCCAAAATCCAGTCTCGCATACGCATTGTCCAATACAGATTGTACAATCAGCAACCACTAACCAACAGATGTTCGCCACGTGGAATCGGCAAATCTTCCCCACCCTCCAATCCACTCCCTATACTTCCACCTTAGGTTCAATCATCGCCGTCTCCACCACCTTCCTCCTCCTCTTCGGCGACCGACTCTCCGCCGTTGCCACCGCCGACCTTTTTGACGTGACCCGAACCGGCTCCGGCTCACCCGAATTAATCCGGAGGGGAAAATTAAGCAGAGCACGTGACCCACGCATGCGGTATGCCGCCCTATCATATGCCACAGCGGCATCCTCCGCCGTCTCGAACGTCCCGAGCCAAACCCTAGCACCGTTCTTCGTCGGATCCCTAATCTCAGCCGCGAACTTCCCCCACGGTCTCTGCCTCACTCCCCTGTAATGCTTCCCCTTCGACGGCACCACCGGCAGCGGCGGCGATCCAAAATTACAGATTTGGGGCTCCAATTTCACGGTTGCGGAGGTGGTGGTGGCTGCCGTGAGGGAGGGAAGCCAGCCGACGGTCGCCGCCTCGTTGAGGAGGCCGTAGACGAGCATGTCCTCGGAATCGTTCTCTTTGAGAGGCAATTCGCCCCAATTGTCACCCAAACAAGTGAACAAGCTGTTCCATGAATTCGATTCGGAGTCATTGCTGAGCAATTGGCGACTAATCGACTCGAGTAGAGCAAAGTCCGCATCGAAATCATTTTGTGTGCACATCATCATCACAAAATCAATTACAAACAAATTTATATCTATGAATGTGAAGTGTTTTGTTGAACCAAATGTGTAGAGAGAGAGGGGAGAGAACAGATCTTCTGGGGAGAGAAGAGAATGGGAGGTTTATATAGGGGTTGGTGTGAGTAGGAAAGAGGGAAAGAGGTTCATGCACTTGGTTTTTAGATATTTCAAAGTTTCGACTTTTTCATTGCTTTTTGCTTCCACTTGGTTATTTTATTTTATTTTTAATATTTAAAAAAAAACGGTGTGTGCTGTGGATTTTATTGTGCTTATTTTTCTGCGGCTTGAGTTTCTTTGAACGTTCTGCATAGTGGGAAGGGGAGAGTGGAAAGATATAGATATAGCGATAGAGATAAAGATAGAATTAGAGAGAGGAGGAAATGATTTTTAGCCACGTGATTAACTTCAGGGCTTTACTGAATGACGTCATTACTCAAGCTATACGTAGCAAGAACGCATTGGAATTCACGTCATCCGATATTCATAGTTGGGTAAATCTTAGGAAAGTTTAGGGTAAATTACATTTACCTCTCTTGATATTTCTGACAAATATAAAAACATTTTCTACGGTTTAAATAATTATAGGAATTTTTTTTATTTTATTTGATAATATCAAGATTTTTTCAAAATTTAATCGCCGTTTATACACTTAACCGTCTCTGCTGATGTCATTAACTATAAGCACTAAAATACCTATAATGTCCTCAAGTACCTATAATGCCTATAATGTAAACACTAAAGTGTCCAATGTAAACACTAAATTTTATTTTATTTTTTAAATATATATATATATATATTTAAATATTTTATTTTATTTTGTAAATATTTTATTTTATCCATGTTTTAATTTCTAAATTTTATTATTTAAAATGAATCCCGTTTCAGTTTTCAAATTTTTATTATTACATGACACATCAGTAAATAAGAAAGTTATTAATTGGCTAATTTGTATGACATTAATCATATTTTTTTGGGTATGTCACTTTTAGAGGCTCAATGTTTGTTTAAAGGCAACAAAATAATGCAGCCTAGCTTTTCAAAATGGGTTTCTATTAAAGAAAGGTAAGATTCATCTTATGCTGTGTTTGGTTGGGGAATTTGAGGAGGGATTTAGAAAGAGAAATAGAAAAGGTAGGTGAAATGTGAATAAAACATACCTATATTTCACCTAGTTTCACACATCTTTTCTCTTTTTCTTTCCAAATCTCTCTCTAAATTTCTCAACCAAACACAGCGTTAGGAGGCTTAATTTTTATTGAAAAGGCAATGGCTCTATGACGAATTAACTTATATCCGATCCAATCTTGTGATTAGACTAGTCTAGTACAATTTTTTGGACTCACAACAAGGTTTGTTAGGTTGGTATGAGTTGCTGATGGTTTATTTTATGCTTATAGAATGATCATTTCATTTAATTTGAGAGCTTTAAAAGAGTATTAATGATATGAAAAAATAAAAAAAATTAATGTCAAAACATCACATCACATCACATACCAATTAAAACTATTAGAGTTCTTAATTTAGAACTCTCAATTATTAGTGTTTTTTTATTTTATTATTGATGCTGGTGTAAATGAACATTTCTTTATAATATTTTTTCTTGTCTTTTTCTTTTTTATTATTGTTTAATACTATTCTATTTACCTTCTAAATACAAAAAAACACAATTATATATAGTAGTATTAGGGAAAGTCCTCTCTGTTTGTATATATGTTTATATAATTTCATTTCGCTTATTTTTTTGATTGCCTAAGGGTCCGTTTGGAAAGATGATTTGTGATTAAAATAGTCACAAAAGACAAACTAGGCTATTTTAGCCACAACAAACAAAACATCATATTCAACCCATAATCATTACACTCTTCTCTCACAAAAAAAGTCAAAAAGTAAAAAAGCTCTTCCCAAACCAAACTTTTTAACCCAGACTAAAATAGTCAAAAAAATCAAAAAGGTAAAAAGTCAACCCACTTCCCAAACCAACCCTTAGAGAAATTGAAGATCCATATATACATACATAATATATACTCATAATTGTTGTATTTTTAATTTTATAAATTTTAATTCATTAATTATTGATGTTCTAAAGTAATGGAGAAAAACATATCCAAGTTTTGCCTTTTAAAGAAAAAAGTTCAAGCCGCAAATTGCCTGTAACCGCTTACATATCTGCGAACCTTATCTGCATAAACCGCAACGCGCACTGCGAGAGGTTGTAGATTCAAATTTTCCTAAACCGCTGACATGCAGGCAAATACAAACTGTAAACCGAACCCTCCAAAGCCAATCCGCGACCACCCTTACCGTGGTGAGATGATGGGATTTAGAGTAACGATGATAATATGATGACATTAATAAGATTTTAATTCGTAAATTTTTTTTTACCTTTTAAAAGTAGTAAATATTTTGTGTTTAAATGAATTTATTTGTTATTGACCAAGAAAAATATTCTATTTTAATTTTTATTGTTTATTATACTAAACATTAAAAATACCCACAAAAAAAAAAATAACCAAACAAAGCCTTACTAAGACCCACTTCAAAAGGTTTCCAAGTTTAGTTTTGTGAGTGCTTAGACATGAAAAATATTCTCTTTTAATTTTTATTGTTTATTGGAAGCTTTTTTGATAAATCTTTTTTCTAAGAGCTTTATTCCATCCAATTCATATTCTTTTTTACTATTTCATTAGGTCTTATTTGAGGTAAGAAGACCAAAATACCATTTTCATCTACTTATATTCTATTATTATTATTATTATTATTATTATTATTATTATTATTATTATTATTATTATTATTATTATTATTATTATTATTATTATTATTATTATTATTATTATTATTATTATTATTATTATTATTATTATTATTATTATTATTATTATTATTATTATTATTATTATTATTATTATTATTATTATTATTATTATTATTATTATTATTATTATTATTATTATTATTATTATTATTATTATTATTATTATTATTATTATTATTATTATTATTATTATTATTATTATTATTATTATTATTATTATTATTATTATTATTATTATTATTATTATTATTATTATTATTATTATTATTATTATTATTATTATTATTATTATTATTATTATTATTATTATTATTATTATTATTATTATTATTATTATTATTATTATTATTATTATTATTATTATTATTATTATTATTATTATTATTATTATTATTATTATTATTATTATTATTATTATTATTATTATTATTATTATTATTATTATTATTATTATTATTATTATTATTATTATTATTATTATTATTATTATTATTATTATTATTATTATTATTATTATTATTATTATTATTATTATTATTATTATTATTATTATTATTATTATTATTATTATTATTATGACTTTTGTTATTATTATTATTATTATTATTATTATTATTATTTTCTATTTTTTTTAAAAGAAGGTCTCTATGACATATGTTAAGGAACTATTAAATAAGGTCTCATTTGAGAATCGATTATTTTAGTAATTTTTTAATTTTTTATAAAAAGATGTGTAGAAAAATAGAAAGAGTGATATGATAATTTATAGTAATTTTTAACTAAAACAGAAAGTTGTCAAACGAGACATAAATATAATTAATTCTCATTTATATAGGAAATTATAAAAGTTTAAAAGCTATCGTAACTAAATAATTTTTATGAGAGTAGTTAAGGTCATTTATTAACAAAACTCTTTAATAATAAATATTAAGAAAATGTTATAAGTTCTAAATTTTCTATCAAATGAATGATTAAATATTAACAAGTATCTCTTATATATTTTTTAATATTGAGATTAGTGTAAAAAGTTATTATTAAAATGATGACAATGTTTAAAAAAATGTTTTTAAATGTGTAAAATTGAACCCTACTGAAAAATTCTGTAAAATTTCTTTATTCATGTGTAAATTTCGTTTTTAATTTTGTGACCAATTTGTATTTTTCATGAGATAATTGCTTTTTTTGGTTCCAGTGTCCCACCAACTTGTAATGAATCATGATCCCCTAGCTTCAACTTGCATTCTGTTGTCATTGACGTCACATAAAGGATGGTGACACACGGCCCATGGTTTTTCTCAACTTGACACGATAATTAGTTGGGCTACGAATATATAAATTGATTATAAAATTAAACACGAAATATTTATAAATATATTATGTTTGGGAAGTGGATTTTGAAGCTTTTTTAGTTAAAATAGTCACAAAAAATAAAAAAAAATAGGTTAAAATATCATATCTAATCTATAATCATTACATTCTTTTTCTCATAAAAAAAATTAAAAAAGTCACAAAATTTAAAATTCCTTCCTAAATTAAACTTTTTGGCACCATGTTAAAATAGTTAAAAAAACTAAAAAATTAAAAAGCCAATTGTGTGGGTGATTTTCTGACCACACTGCCCGCCTAGTAATAGCTGGAGAGTACCGGCAGAATAGATGGCTTCAGCAAACCTGTAACAGAAAGAAAAGGCTCTGGCGGTGGCTCTTCCACCCGGGAGCACTCCGACGATCAAGTCAGTATATCTCTCAAAGATAATCAAGTGCTAAACTCATAAGTTTAAGCATAAAACTGCGTACCTTAGACCCACGAGGGTGCCTCTCTTTTATAGCCAACTCAATCCTAGTCCCACTAGAAGCCCGACTTCTATGGAATCCCATTCAGTGTTTACTTTGGATTTCTCAAGAGATAAAGATAAACTCCCTAAGAGCTTTATCCTTATCTTAGCAAAGTCTTCTCTTTACTCTAGGATTCTTGCCCTTTATCCATTATCCGCTTATCTCGGATTCCGATATCTTCGGAAGCAACCTTGGCCTAGCCGAGATAACCTCGGCGTCACGACCAAGACACGTGGCACCTCGGCTGACACGTCGGCGTCACCTTGCCACGTGTTGGTATTCAGAAAATATATCCTCACAACTGCCCCCTAGGTTCTGTTCTATTACCTTGGCATTCTGAGGTGATGGAACCTATATTATTCCTCTTTCCAGTACTTCAGCAGAAGAACTCTTCAGCCGAGGTCGTTCATCTCAGGCCGACATGTCTTCTTTCAAGAACAAGAATTCAAATGAACTCTCCCACGCGCATGAGCTGTCATGCATCACTTCTCAACCGTTTCCTGCACACGTTTCATCTTTACTGGCCCGTGCCTGTGACGCGCTTGTAAGTCGTCTTAATCTGTCTGCACCGTCATGCGGTTTTCCAGGCGTAATAAATGCCTTATTTTGCCGCCGTTTCACGTTTTCAACAAAGACACTACCTTTGCTTTCGTCTTTTCACTTTGTGCTTTGATTCACTTGCTTTCTTCTCTCTCTAAAACCCTTGCTTCTTGAATCTGCCATTGCTAAGGCTCCAAGTTCTGCAACCGTCTTCGTTCATCTTTCTGGTGAAGCTTTTACCATTCTGGTACTTCAGTAACCGTCGTCTATCTTCGTCGAATTCTATTCCGGCCTTACTTCGTCTGGTAAGCAGCTGTTTCTTCTTACCTCAATTTTTGATTTTTTCTGGAATTTTCTTGCTATTACTGTCGTGCTCAAACAATTAATTTACTGGATTATTCATCTGGATGCGTCTATTCCACGATTTTGCTCATGTCTTGAACACTTGCATTGTTTCACCACTTTTTTGCCACTATTCTTGGCCTTCAACCCTTTGTATTCTCCATGTTTCTGATAGCCCCTTTTTGTTTTAAATTCTGAAACTTCGTCTTTGTTTTCTATTTTTTTGTATCTTTTCCAGATCCGTACCTTTGATCTTCATCTTCATAGTTTTTAGGCTTGGGATTTGTTTGTAGAACCTTTAATTTTTAGGAAAAAACTGAAACAAGCCGTACCAATACTAGGTTTTTGCCGAGGTTCCAAAAATCCTTTAAGAACATCTTCTTTCGGTAATCAAATTCCTTTACGCCGAAATCATGGGTATGCGGAGACATAGGGTAAATACCCCAACCAAACTCGAATACTTTAGGGAAGAGTTCTTCATTCCAGCTGATGTTCACCTTAGGCTAGCTGGGGATGACGATTCCATCATGCCTACAGACAATGGCCCTGTTTGGTAGAGCTGTGGGAAAGTGCTTATAGCTTATGCCTAAACAGCTTATAGCTTATAACTTTCAGCTTAAGCTGATTTCCAGCTTATTCTTAAAGCATCTCCTGCCCCACTTAAAGAATAAGCTGTTTTCTGACTTCCACAAAGCTATAAGCTATAAGCTATAAGCTAAACCAAACACATCAAAATAGCTTAAATTAAGCTGAAAGCTGAAATAAGCTGAAATTAAGCTGTACCAAACAGGGCCAATACGATGCCCTTTCCCATTGTAGCCTTTACTGAATGTGGACTCCGGCTTCCACTTAATCCGTTTTTTTCGCGAAGTTCTCCACTACTATAGGTTGAACCCCATGCAACTTACCATCAACTCCTATCGAGTGATTAATGGTATCATAGCCCTAGCTAGGCAGGAGAACGTTAGGATCACCCTTGCCGATATCCAATATTGTTATACCATGTGCGCCCTGAACTTAAAAGAAAAAGGTTTCGTCTATTACCTCAAGCCGAGGTCCACCAAATTCAAAATCGTAGCCGACCTCCCAGACTTCAACAAAGGGGCTGGAGATGACTACTTCATTGCCCCTGGAAATTGGGAGTTTGCCCCAGACGAGGATGTCCATCTATACCCTCTTCCTCGAACAGTTAAAGAGGGCAAGGGTAAGAGCCCAGTGTCAATTACTTAGTTATTTTTTTTCAAGTCTTCAAAATTTTGTCTGTTTCTAATGTCTTGTTCTTCTTGCAGATGTTCGCAAGCCACCAAAGGATTTTCGCCAGTCCTACTTTCCAGGAAAAGACTTAAAGAAGCTCCTAGATCTACCAATCCAAAAGCGCAAGGCTCCACTGGTACTGAATTTTATTCCGACGTACAAGTCTACACTGCCTGACGTCCCGAAAAGAAAGAAGAAGAGCTTATCTCCTCCCTCTGCTACCACTCTACAAACCGCATTAACATCTCGGGTTGACCAAGGGTCAACCTCTGATCCACCCGATCAACCATCAACTTCAGCCCCATACTTAATCCCAATACCAGAAAGAAAACGTTGGCGACGACTTGTCAAAACTGCTGAGATGGGTCGCCCGAAGCCTGTTGCCCAAGATCTCCTAGCCGACCTTCCTACGGACGTTGACGCTCAGCCGACGCAAACCATGCCCCCACCAAAGCCGAAGAGAACCAAGAAAGCCCAGCCAAATGCTAAAGTGACTCAGGTTGAGTCTGAGGACACTTTACCTATATCCAAACTGGCTGAGAGTGGGAAGACCGCTTCCGTTCCCACAAAAAGGTCTGCTGAAACACAGCCATCAGAGTCCATTCAATCAAAGAAGTTGAGGTCATCGTCTGCGACGACCTCGGGTTCCAAAATACCAAGAGTCCCCTGGGTGCCTGAAATCACCCTAGAAGATAAGCCTGTTCTAGCCTGTGACAGTGCCGATGACATCAATGTCGGCGTGGCACTCAGTACTGCTGTTCTCCTTCCTGGCAATCTTGAGCGGAATGCCAAGATGAGCGAGTACGAGAACTACGCCCTCATGCTCCAACGTTCTGTACAAGTAAGTTCCCCCATTTGGCAACTTGTCTTTCTGCCTCTTTTTCTATACTTGTAAAGTTTGTGTAATAACTTTTCCCTTGGGTTCTTTTAGGCCATTCAACATGCCCATTCTCTCTCTATGCAAGCTTTTGAAACAGGGGAGAAGTTGGCCGATATGAGGCGGGAGGTTTCTGCCTTAAAAAAGGAAAACAAAACTTTTCTGACAAAGATGAAGAAGCTTGAAGACCAGGCTGAGGCTGCCACCAAAGCCTAAACCCTAGCTGAAGAAAAGGCCGAATCTGCCGAGGCTATTAAGAAGGTCGCCGAGGCCGAGAAGAGAGAGGCCGAGGACAAAAAGGCCCAAGCCGAAAAGGAACTTCAAGAGGCCTTATCTACTAAAGACGCCGAAATCAAAGCGGCCGACGAAAAGGCCTATGCTCAAGGAATGGCCGACGTTACAGAGGAATACAAACTACAAGTTAGGCAGGCGTGCAACAGGGGCTTCTCCCTTGGTTGGATGGCCCTTGCAAAGAAACTTAATCTTTCTGACAATTCACCTCTGCGCCAAGCCGACGCTATTCCTCTTCCATTTCCTCCACTTCCACCGCCAAGCCAAGCTGAAGATGAATCTGAGTCTGAATCTGAGGATGAGGATAAGGATGATGATGAGGCTTTGGTAAAGAAGCCCAAAGATGTTAGTGAGACCAAGTCCCCTCCTCATGAAGATCAAGTCCTAGACTTGACTCATGAGGAGGATGCGGAGGTTATCAAGGAGACCACCCCTGAGCAAGCATCATCTGATGTTCCTCCAGTCGATAGAAGTCTTGATCAAACACTTGCCGAAATTGACGCTGAGTTGGCTGCGGAAAAGATTGCCGAAGTGGTTCCACCAGAATCCTCCGAGGTTCCAGCCTATCCAGCTGTTGATGCTGAAGGAGCCTGACTCCAATGTCTTTCTTTGTTTGATTTTTTTTACTTTTCTGTTTTCTGCACAATGTAAGCTTCCTTTTGTGGCCGATGTGCCTATCTTTGTCACTGCCGATCAATTTGCTTTTGGTTAGGCCACAGTGCCTTCTTTGTACACAATTGCAACTGTTTTTCTCTGAATGCTTTAGTCTTTATTTTCTCTTGATTGCTTCTTCATGGTTCTATACTTAGAATATTTGGCATGCCTTTCATACTTTACCTCCTTTGTGCAATCTTCTCGGGGTTACATACCTCGGGTATAATAACTACAAGCTTTAATTCGGCAAGATACTGACCTGCAAACTTTTCATGAATTTCAACAAGTATACACTATTCAATGCTATCTTGAAAACATTTCTCAAGTTATAACAAGTGCTAAACAATGATCTACTTGTAAATTGCTACAAATTTCAACAAGTGTTTAAACAATATACTTAGCTTTTATTTCAACCTGTAAATTGCTGCAAATTTCAACAAATGATCATATGTCGGCTTAACTGCAACTTGTAAATTGCTACAAATTTTAACAAGTGAAGATAAGGAATAATCTCGGCTTAACATCAACTTGTAAATTGCTACAAATTTCAACAAGTGAAGATAAAGAATCAGCTCGGCTTAACTTCAACTTGTAAATTGCTACAAATTTTAACAAGTGAAGATAAGGAATCAGCTTAACTTCAACTTGTAAATTGCTACAAATTTCAACAAGTGAAGATAAGGAACCATCTCAGCTTAACTTCCGACTTGTAAATTGCTACAAATTTCAACAAGTGAAGATAAGGAACCATCTCAGCTTAACTGCAACTTGTAAATTGCTACAAATTTTAACAAGTGAATTAAGTGTCTCTGTCTTCTCTCTGCCCCCAATGTAAACCTAAGTTCTACTTGGGTTCTCATTATTCATGTCTCCAAAAACATCAATATGTAACTTTATCAATCATATGTGTTTAAAGAAAAGGGAAAAGATTTTATTGATGACCTCGGCCAAAAATAATGTACATCTAATGATAGAAGAATTTCAAATTACAAGTGTTCCAAGGTCTTGGCAGTGCTTTGCCCTTGTTATCTTCAAGCCGATAAGCTCCATTGCCTAATACCGAAGTAATTCTGTAGAGTCCTTCCCAGTTTGGGCCAAGCTTTCCCTCTTTGGGATCCTTCTTGTTGCCGACGACTTTCCTCAGGACTAGGTCGCCGACTTGAAAATCTCTTGAATTGACCTTCTTGTTGTAAGCTCTGGCAAGCTGTTGTTGGTATACTGTGAGCTGAATTGCAGCTTTTTCTCTTCGTTCTTCCAAAAGATCCAGATCTCGGGCTAAGTATGTCATTTGTCCCGTTCTCAACTCCCTGGGTTCGGATGCCTGGGATGTGACTTCCAGTGGAATGACTGCTTCTGTGCCATAAGCCATGGCAAAGGGAGATTCCCCTGTTGATCTTCTCGGCATAGTCCGATATGCCCAAAGCACGTTGGGCAATTCGTTTACCCACTTTCCCTTTGCTGCTTGTAGCCTCTTCTTTATCCCATGCAAAATTACTTTGTTGGATGCCTCTGCTTGCCCATTGCTTTGGGAAAAACTTGGTGTTGAAAAATAATTCTTTATCTTGAATTTCGCGCAGAAGTTCTTGATGAGTTTGCTGTCAAACTACGTTCCGTTGTCGGCAACTATTGCTCTTGGAATGCCAAATCTGGTGATGATGTTTCTCCATATAAAGTTCTTGACGTCCACATCTCGGATTTTGGTAAGAGATTTTGCCTCTATCCACTTTGTAAAGTAATCTGTTGCCACCAGCAAGTATTTTCTCTGCCCAGTTGCCTAGGGAAGTTGCCCAACATGATCCATGCCTCATTGGGCAAACGGCCAAGGACTGGATACTGGGTTTAGGTCAGCAGCTGGCTGATGTATCAAAGGCGCAAACTTTTGGCATTGTTCACACTTCTTCACGTAGGCTTCAGCATCCTTTTGCATGTAGGGCCACCAATACCCCTGGGTAATGGCCCTGTGGGCTAATGATCTGCTCCCAGCATGGCTTCCACAAATTCCTTCATGAATTTCATATAGGAAATCTTCAACCTGCAAAGGGTGTACGCACCTTAAAAGGGGTCCAGTGAAGGACCTTCTGTAAAGGTGTCCATTTGCTGTCAGACAGAATCTTGCCGATTTCAATCTGACTTTGTATGCTTCCTTACGATCTTCTGGCAGCTTTTCTTCTTTTAGGAATGCAACAATTACATCCATCCAGCTTGGCCCCATGTCCACACACATTGCTTCCTGTTCTGTGCTCTGTGGTTCTATGCTCGGGCCCGACATATAGTCGATCATAATTGTCCTTGTTTTTCCAGTCTGCATTGAACTTGCCAAGTTAGCCAACGCGTCGATGTGGGTATTGTCATCTCAGCTAACTTGGAGTAGTCGGCAGTTCTGAAATAGGGCTGCCAATCTGATGACCTCTTTTTGCATATGCCGACATCCTTTCGTTTCTGGCTGCAAATTCTCCTGTTGACTGGTTAACAATAAGTTGTGAATCACAAAAAACTATTACCTCATCTGCTTCTGCTGTTGCTGCCAGTTTTAGCCCTGTAATTAATGCTTCGTATTCCGCTTCATTGTTTGAGGCCTTGAACCCCAAACGGATGGACTGTTCTATTATTTCTCCATCTGGAGATATCAGCAGTACTCCTGCGCCCGCTCCTTGTCGGTTCGAACTTTCATCGACAAACAGTCTGAATGAGTCGCCGATGTAGATGCTGCAGGGTCTGAGTTTTTCCTTCCTTTGCTCTTTTGCCTTGGGCTGGGATTCTCCTTGTTTGCTGGGACGATGCTCATCTTGGCTCAAAGGAGCCCGATGTTCGATGGTTTCAGGCGTGAATTCTGCCACGAAGTCGGCCAAAACTTGGCCTTTTATTGCTGTTCTGGGCCTAAACTCCAGGTCATACTGGCCCAAGGCAACAGCCCATCTTGCTATTCTTCCTGTTAAGTCTCCTTGTTGCAACAGGGACTTCAGTGGGTGTTCTGTGAGTACCACAATCTTGTGTGCCTGAAAGTAATGGTTCAATTTTTTTGAGGCCATTACTAAGGCCAGCATTAATTTCTCTAGTGGTAGATACCTTGTTTCTGCGTCGGCCAAGGTTTTACTTACATAATAAACAGCCTTTTGTTCTCCTTGTTCTTCTCGGATTAGCACTGCACTTACTGCATGTTCTGACACAGCTAAGTACAAGAACAGCTCTTCCCCAAGTTTAGGTGACGAGAGGACCGGAGCCGTGGTCAGATATTTCTTTAGGTCGGCCAAAGCGGCCTCACATTCCTCAGTCTATAGGAAGTCCGTGGTCTTCTTCACCAGGTTGAAGAAGGGTTTACATTTGTCTGAGCTTCGGCTTATGAACCTGTTTAGGGCTGCGGCCCTTCCAGTAAGCATTTGTACTTGTTTTGCCGATGTTGTGCTCTGTAGGTCTAGGATGGCCTTGATCTGGTCTGGGCTGGCCTCTATGCCCTTCCTTGTTACTAGGTACCCCAGAAATTTGCCAGATCCGACTCCAAACGCGCACTTTGATGCGTTGAGTCGGAGCCGATATTTTTTGAGGATCTCGAATACCTCTTTTAGGTCGGCAAGATAACTCTTAGGCTCCTTGGTCTTCACGACCATGTTATCGATGTAGACTTCTACTGTTTGGCCAATCAGGTGTTTGAACATTTTGGTTACCAGCCTTTGGTAGGTTGCTCCTGTGTTTTTCAACCCAAAAGGCATCACTTTGTAACAGTACAGGCCTTTTAGGGTGATAAACGCTGTATTCTCTTCGTCTGGGGGGTACATGGCTATCTGGTGGTACCCCCTATAAGCATCCAGGAAGCTCATCCTTCCATGTCCAGATGTGGCGTCTACCAACTGGCCAATCTTGGGTAGAGGAAAGCAGTCTTTGGGACAAGCTTTGTTCAGGCTTGTAAAATCTACGCAGACCCGCCATTTACCGTTCTTCTTCTTTACCACTACTGTGTTGGATAGCCATGTCGGGTAATGAACTTCTTGGATGGCCCTGGCCTCTAGAAGTCTGTCCACTTCTTCTTCTACTGCTTCGACATGTATCAACGTCGGTCTTCTAG